CAATCGCTACAGCTGCTTCTGGGAGCAGCTGCAGCAATTGCCTGGTGCTTGAAGGGGGGGGCACTGGTGCTCCTGCCTGCCTCCCCTGCCCATCAACTAAGTGGCAAGTGTGGCCAGTCAGGGGGTGCACCGGTGCTCTCAGGGGGAGGCACCCTCTAGGTGTCGCCACTGTAGAGGAGCAAGGAGACAGGCTGGGGCTGCAGAACACAGCACTATGGCAGCAAAAGCCCCTACGCACCCCCTATGCATTGCCACTGCCATTTGGGACTGGTTAAGAACTAGAACTGTCCTATGATGTACATATATCAAGTGGCAAGGTGTAGGAGAGCGCTTTTGTGCTTAGAACAGCTCTGGGGTGGTGATAACTTGAGATTCATGGAGCTATTAAAAGAGTCCATCCCCTCCTAGGCCAGAAGGGGTCTCCTACAGATTTCCCATCTCATCATCCACTTTAGCAAGAAACATTTCTCCCATGGCTTCTTTGCACACTGTAGTTCTGGGTGGGTAAAACACCTGTACTGCCCTGTGTAAAATGCCCCACTCTGCTATGGATGTGAAACGTGGGTGACCTACCTCAAGAGCCCAGGGAGGGATCATCAGTGCCTCCGGAAAATCTTCCACAGCAAGGGGGAAGATCACCGCACAAATGTCAGCATCCTTGTTGAAACCAGTGTCACCAGCATTGAGTTGGTGATCCTCAAACACCAACTTTGCTGGGCTGGACATTGTGCATGGATGTCTGACTCTCAGCTCCCAAACAAGTGCTCTGCTCCCAGCTTAGCAATGGCCTGAGACCTCACAGTGGCAGAGGAAATACTACAAGGACACTTTGAAGGCATCCCTCAAGAAAACAGATGCCAATGTCAAGTTGGGAGGAGCTGGCTGCCAACCAGTTCCAGTGATACCACAACCTCAGCCAAGCAGCTGCCTGTTTTAACGTAAAAGCCTCTCTTGCCAACAAAGCAAGAGAGAGCGGAGAAAGGAATAGGAGAGAAATCCCTCTCTGTGGAAGGACCTGCAACTTCTGTGGAGAGGTCTGCAGCTCTAGGACTGTACTCTTAGGTTGCCTCAAGACAAGACCCACCAATGAGCTAGGGCAGAGATTTCTTTTATTTAAAATTTTCCATAGTCCAAGCCAAATTTGCCAAATCAAATTCCAAATCTGTGAGTCAGTCCAGAACGATAAGTGGCCCAACTACTGGCAAACATCCTCCACCCCCATCTGGGCCTTCACATGCTCCCAAATCCTTTGGTGGGCATCCTATTTGCAGGCCCAAGCCCTGAGGCTCAGGGTTCAGATGCCCGAGTTTTGCTTGCCTTTAGCCATAAGGCCCTTGGAGCAAGCAAGGGAGGAGACTCCCATTTCCATACACTGGGCTTAAAGCTGCTGCACCCCGGCGGGTCCTGATCCACACCAGAATAGCAGTTCTCCCGCGACAAAGTGCAGGAAAATCGCCTTTATGGACACGGATACGTGGTATTTTCCTTGCCAGGTTAAGAAGTTACTGCGCTTCTCCTGGGCCTTCAAGAAGCCGAGAAGCAGCAAGAGGCCGAGATCACCCTCAGACCGAGGGACTGCCCCATCCCCCCGTCCTGGTGCCAGGGTGGAGAAGCGCCTGCCCCCGGGGCAGGACATGGAGGTTGGGTTTGCTAACACTTGGCAAGGCACCCTGCGGGCTGGAGGGAAGCCTAAGGCCAAAACCTGTCCTACAAGCCTGGTGGTTAGAGCCGAGCCCCGGGAGCCGCCTCTGCCCCGGCTCGCGGGCAGCTGCCGGGCCTGCGGCGGGCTGGCGGGGTGACTCCGTCTCAGCGGCTGCAGCTAAGCGCCGGCGCGGCAGAGGGTGGGGGGCGGGCGCAGGCCTGGGCTTAGGGCGCGGCGTCAGGGGAGTGGGAGGTTCGGGGGGCGGGGCCGCCCGTCCCACCCATCCGGAAGCAGCATGGCGGTGGCGGCGCTGCGCGGGGTTCTGGGGCTCGGCGGGATCCACTGGCTGAGGCGCGGCAGGTTCGGGCTCCTCCCTCCCTCCCTCCCTGTCCGGCGCCGCTCTCCCGCTGCACCCGTCCAGGCACCAGCCCTGCCGCACCCCCCCGGCCCTCGGCTTGGGTGGGGCTCGTGAGAGACCGTGACCCCGATTTGCAGAGTCCCCACGTCAGCGCTGCAGAGGACAGAGCCCCCCTGACCCCAGCTGGCTTCCTCAGCCGTGCTGGGATTCAGCGCCAGTCACCAGGGTCCCGCCAGAGCTACCCCGGCTGCGCCACGAGGCGGGAATCTCTCTTGCTGGTTCCACCCCCCCCCCCCCAAAAAAAAAAAGGAAAAAAAAAAAGGCTTCTGGCTGTTGTGTTTCTTGGAGGAGGGGAAGCTTGAAACGCTGCCCAGGTGCTTCCTCGAGGGCCAGAAACTGGCAGAGCCTCCACGGGGTCCTTTATTTTCAAAGGATCTCTTGATTTCTGAAGACCATCTCTGGTTGTGAGGGGCCTGGTGCTGGAGGTCACTTCCATGGTGCTCCCGTTGCACAGAAAGTTTTAAAGAGGAAGTCCAGGAGTGGGCTGGAGGGGGACTTGGACAGGCAACAGAGGGTAGTATCTCTGCTGGCAAAACCTTAAATAAAGCCTGAGAGCTCTGTCTTGGGAGGCAGGGAGCTGGACGTGGTGGCACAGGGGGTTTCATGTTCACCAGCTGCCTTCCCCTCACGGCGCTCAAGCCAAGGCAGCGGTGGCCCATTGTTTGTGATAACACCTGCAAACTTGTCCTGAGGGGCCTGCAGTCCAAGTACAGTACTCTTAGATTCAGCTTTTGGATTCGTTCATCAGGGATAATTTCCTCTTTCATTTTGTTCTTAAATGTATGATGAATGCAAACTAAACTTCTTTATGCCAAGTTTAAAGGCAGGGGCCTGTGTGTAGCCGTTTGTTTTGGGATACATAGTCAGAGGATAATAGCTTCTATAGCTATAATGCCTTTCATTCAGCATTTTTTGACATGTGACCACTTCTAAGGTAACAGCATGACAACTAATTAGTGTACAGCACCGGTGACCCCAGTGTATGCTCTTGTGTTGCAGGAGGAGCACTTCAGTTATAGACCATCTGGGACTGCTCTCTCCAAGCAATGGGCTCCCACTGCCATCCTACTGCCGGAGCTATCGAACTGTGTTGTGCACTGAGCTGGCGAAGCCACTGATTATTACGACTGTCCCATCGCCTCCTTTGCAGCCCCAAGAGGTAGAATATACATGATTTATACTGGAAACTCGTCACAGAAGGGACCATCTCTTTCTACTTGTGCTATTTGTACACTGCCTCAAGGGAGGTCTCTAGACTACTGCAGCAATAACATAATACCTAGCTCTTCTCTAGCATGTTTCTTTGTCAGTACAACTTGGTGCTTTGCAAAAGAATTCAGTATCATTCTCCCTATTTCAAAGGTGGAGAAACGGAGGCATCTGGAGGGAAAAAGAATTGTTTAAGGTCACCCCACTGGCTAGTGTCAGAGCTAGAAAAAGCACCCAGGTCTCCTGAGTCCCAGTCTAGCGCTCTATCCCCAAAGTAGTGTTGCATCCCTAAACAATAATAAAAGGCCTCTAGAGAGGGGAGTGCTGCATTCAGCAAGAAAGATGAAAGTTAAAACAAACATTGGTAAAAGGCTGAGTGACCTTGATCCAGTCCTTTTCCATTCCTGTGCCTCAGGTCCTATATCTGAGTAGCAATCCATGCTTCCCAGTTTATTTCATGTTTGTGCAGCCCTTTAAACAGGTAAAGCACAGTGAAAGTGATGATTATTATCTGCATGAGAAGAGAGTAGTGCAATGTGGCATTTGGTGCTGTGCAAATACTGAAGATACAGAGCAGCTCACTGACATGAACAGCTGGCACATGTCATTACACAGTGCAGTCGTTAGAAGAAGTGTCCAAAAGTGGAGCACAGTGGGAAAATTGGCTGGAGATAGTAATAGGTGTTCAGCAGATGCAATCTGCCTCCCACTGACACACTTTGGGGGCGCTCTTCAGTGGGTGTAAATCTTTGTAGCTCTTGTACAGTCAATGGCCATCTCCTGGTTTGTATCAGTTGAAGGTGTGACTCTGTGTCATAGAAAGCTTATTGAGAGAGCTTGATTTGGTTGTCCCAGCTCTGCAGCAGATTTAATGCAGGCCTTAGTTTAGTTGCTTAGAATCTTGTGCTTTAGTTCCCTGTAAAATGGGGGTAATATTGATTTCCTATCCCACTGGGTTGTCATGAGGAGAAACGCATAAAAAAACCTGTGATACTACAGTTACTCTAGCAATGGGGAGTTACACAAGTATCTAATAAAGAGAAGAGCTGCCTTAAAAGAATGAACTGTTAGCACAACGAAGTAATCTCTGTAGTGGTTGCATGAAACAGGAGAGTTACATCTGCCTCTTCTCTTTTTCAGGTCAGGGTTGGCATCCATTGCTGTGGGGTAAACTTTGCTGATATCTTGGCCTGCCAGGGTCTGTACCAGGAAAAACATGCTCTTCCATTCACTCCTGGTGAGTAGGAACCTATCGATCTTTGCAGAAGGTTATGGAGTCACTAACTTAATGTATTTAATTCTAAGTGAATTTACTGCTGGTGCCAGACGGGGAGCCCTGAAGAACAAAGCTGTCTATCCACAAAGTAGGTGCAGCATATTAATCTTTGAATTGGTGCCAATTTTGATGGGTTCATTGATGTGGACATCTGTTCATTAGAAACTGAGTATAAAGCTCCCAGCTCATTTTACATAGGCATCTGGAGAGCTGTAAGATAGTCACAATTCTTGTCATTGCTAACTTCTGGATTCTGATCAACAGAGGTGCAGAGCTCCATATCCTGCTGGTTTATTATGAGGGAGACATGTTTAACAAAACAATAATTCCCCAAAGTTTCCAGTCATAAAGGGACTCATATGGCTTTTGCATTAATAAAGGACATGCTTTATTTTTTTGTCTTTCCACAAGAAGGCAGACTCACAATAGTATTAGTAGGGTCTGAAATTTGCCCCAAATTGGTGCAACCTTTGGTTTACCCTTTACTTGCTTTCTTATACCTTTATTGCTGTTCTCAGATAGGGAGACTCCTATCCACCTTGAGAATTCAGTTTTTGTCCCCACCTTTAGGGTTGCCATGTCCAGGTAACATAGTTTCTAATCTGACAGGCACCAAGTTGTGTTTAATATCATGTTACCTAAAATATGCTGATTAGCATGCTTATTTGCAGGAAATATTTTCCCCAGGGTAGACAAGATCTCATTGTGGCTGTCTGTATCACCTCTTAAAAATATGTGTTATATAGGACTTTGAATTTTCAGAGCACTGTGCAAACCTTAATCCACAACAACACTGGCATAGATAAAGAGACTGAAGCAGAGAGTTTTTATTTTGGATTTTTATAGCACTTAGGGCACTGAGTCTGTCTCCATGACTAAAGCTACTTGGTGCTAGGAAAACTTGCCCAAGATTATCCAGCACATCAAAAGCAGAACTGCAGTCCAGGACACTATTGTTTTTCAAAATGCAGTGGCTGCTTGATTGGCTGTTCTCAGTATCGTTTGTGGCTTCCTGCACACTTTGGCTGTATCCACACAAGCGTGGATATTTGGTTCCCTGGGGACAACTAGCAGTGGGACACCTTGTGTTCATGCCTGTGCCACATGCTCTGTGGCGCATGGCAGGTTACCCCGGGTGAGGTATGGGAGCCAGGGGCTATCACTGGGTTGTCTCCAGCAGCCTTACCCGGGCTCATGGGGACCTCCTGGGGCTGCAACAATGGCGATCCTACAGCTTGGAGAGTGCCTTTCAGCAGCTAGGCTCCAGTTTTGAGTGGCCCTCGCATGTGCCGGTTTGCTTTTTTTTTTGCATGGGTTTTTTTGACCCCTGGATATCTAGGGGTCAAAAAAAATACCTGACCTGCTCACTTGCAGCGTGGAGAACAGCTGAACGCACAATATGTGGTGTTGCAGAAATGTCTGTGGCACCACATATCGTACAATCATGCTTATCTGGACGTGGCCTTTGAGTCAGCAAAGGGAAAGGATATTCCTGGAGCATTCCTCCTGCCTCCAGTAACTGAACCTCCTATTCCTCTAGCTATGGACATGTTGCACCTCTTTTGTGTTAATTTGCTGCACTAAATGCTTCAGGTTTTAATATCTTCTTTGGCTTTTGCCCGTCTGGGAGCTGATAGTTTCCATTATACCAGGAACACATTTCTGAGGATAGGTGGCTTGACTGGTTCTTTTACTTTTTAAGTTTCTTCTTTCATTCCTTACTCCATCCATTTATCAAGTTTTTTATCTCTCTTGGGCCAACAGTGCCACTTTCTGGCCTTCTTGCAGCATTACTTCCAAATTATTTTATGTTGCAAACGCATACCAGGTATATGGCCCTCTGGAAAATGAGAGATGTAGTTAGTCATGTTAGTCTGAAGTCAAGAAGAAGGCAGTGTAGATTTGCACTTGTAGACTAATCAAAGTAGATGTTAAGTATATATATAGAGCACATCTAATTTGGTTAGTCTATAAGGTGCAAATCTACCTTGGCTTCCTTCGGAAAATACCAGAGTTAAAAACCAAAGAACAGCCATACTCTGAACATCTTTGACATTGAACATCTTTTCAGTACATTTTAATGCTGTTGCCCATAAGGCTGGTCAGTGTGACCTGTTTTCCTGCTTTGCAGGATTAACTGAACTCAGTATTGCTGTGTTCTGTTCACCTCAAGCTAGAGTTTTACTATAGGTGAGACCTTTCTTGTCCCATAGGTCTTGTCTGCAGTGAACAAGGATGACTGGAGGTGGGGGAAATGACCTGTTTGAATAGCAGTGGGATATACATGTTCTTTTTCTTCTTTAGGAATGGAGTTTTCAGGGGTTGTGATGGAGACAGGAACGGATGTCAGCACAGTGCAAAAGGTAACTGGCATGAAATAGGTCTTGGGTACAGGAATGGAATCATGGTGGCTAGCTGATCAGTGAGGATGGGGATTCATTACAGGGATTGTCTTTAATCATTTTGTAGTATGTTCTTGAGAGCTGTGCTGGACAGTTGTTGTCATGGTCCAGACTGGCTTGCTTACTGGATAGAGCCATGCATGTTGCTGAGGTTTGCAGGGGTAAGGGTCGAAAGCTGCACGTCAGGAACCAAAATGCCAAGCCAGGGTCAGGAGCTGGCAGTCAGAAGCCTAAGTATCAAGTCTAAAGGATAATCCACAGGGCAGAGTCCAAAAGTAAGCCAAACTGAGGTCAGGAGTTGGGGAAACAGGTCTGTAGGGAGAATGCAAAAGCTGAAATCAAGGAGCAAGCCAAAGGTGTAGGGTTTGGTCTGTAACAAGGGAAATCAGAGGTGTTGCTGAAATAAGATTTTTTTTTATATCTATAGAGATATCTGTAGATATAGATAATCTCACATCTACCAGAAACTGTCCTGTGTCCACTATGGCTCATCTGACAGTCCAACAAAGTCATTACTGCCATTACATCATACACATTCCCACCATAATATCTGCAACACATATCTGTATACCCTCCTGTCCACTGAAGACCAGCGTGTTGGGAAGCAAGGCTCAGGTGCTGGAGGAGTTCTTTAAATGGAGCTTGAGAACCATTCAGAGGGAAGGGGCTAGGGGTCAGTTGGCCTTGATTAGTAGTAACTGTGTTATTGCACTTAACAAGGGCTGCAGGGCAGGAGCCTCACCGGAGTGTGTGGAAGAGTTTGGGTGTTGTTTTCAGTACAGGATTAGGAAAAGACACAAAGATCAAATTGGGAATGGGGAGAAATGTGTGTGATTATTTCAATGGCTGGCCAGACAGTTGTCTGACATTGTTTGTGCTGTTTGTTTTTTCCTGATAAAACGGGAAAGCCAAACATTTAAATTAGAGAGTGAAGCAGGACCAAGTGACTGTTCTCACCCTAATACCTGTCCACTAATGATTTTTTTGGCAGGGAGACAGAGTACTTGGCGTGACAAGCTCTAAGGCAATGGCTGAGGAGTGCATTATTGATCAGAAGGTAACGACTGTTTTAATACAAATTTGTATTCCATTACAACAAAGATTTGTATGATTCCTGTTTGGCTCCTATTAGATCATTTAGCTTGTAACCTCATTTAGGATGATTTTTTTTGCCCTTTCTGTCAGTAACTTCAGGATTTGGGATGTAGCTTGCCCTGGAGAATTCTTGCAAAGATAGAGTAGATTGATAAGAGAAAATACATTAAATATTGCTCAGGTGACATTAACAGTTTCTTATCCTATACCTTCTAGTGAATTGTGACATCATGGTTCTGAACCATGTTTATGCTGCATTAGAGAGGCTTTTCAGAATACAGAACTTCATTCTTTTTCTTTCTGGAATTAAATGTGTTGCTTTGTCTTATGTAGATGCTATGGCAGATCCCAGATGGTGTGTCTTACGAACACGCTGCTGCACTGCCTGTGTCTTATGGCACAGCCAGCTTGGCCCTTGAGCGAAGAGCACACATGCAGCCAGGGTAAGTGACTATGGGAGACCAGAGCACTACAGGGGGACCAGTACTTGGCATTGGCATACTGCTTATCCTCTTTAAAAAAAAACAACCCACAAAGAAAATCCAAAAAACAAAAAAACTATATATTTTCTCATATAAAACACCCACCAGAATATAATATGCTCATTGTTTTTGAAAGGCAGAATGGCAAAAGTGTCTGGGGAGCAGAGCATGCTCATTGTTTTGCATACTATTAATTGTTCCAGGTGAAACGAAATAAAATCAGCTAACCACAGAACCTGCTCATTTCTCACATACAGTGTGCACTCCAATTTCCAGTAGCTGCTTTTTGGGAAAAAGGTGTGTTTTCTGCAAGAAAATAGGATAGCACACATGCAGACTCTCTTGAAATCTAATCTCCTATGCTGTGCAGCAACCCCCCCCCCCCCGTCCCCCCAATGTGGTGGTTTTGTTGTCATTTTGCAGATGTGGAAACTAAGTCCTCTTAGGGCAGATTTCAAGATGGATATAGTCTCCTGGGAATAACAGGAACTCTGAGTTTCTAACTGGTCAGTCACTGAGCTGGGCGGCTTCTCTGTCCTATTGGGAGCGGGGCTGCAAGGTTTCCCTGTTTCACAGTTAATTTGCCAAGAATATAATAGAATTTAGAGGGTGTTGTGCTACATCAAATAGAAGGTGAAAACAGGTCAGATTATTTTGAGAGCATTAGAATCACAAAGCAAAATAGAACTGTATAGCCACTCAATGGACATACAATGCAACACTCCTGAAAAAGGTGCAGATTTGTAAACAATATTATACAAGAAAAAATAGAATAAACCAGTGATTCTTAACCTTTTTAAATTCAGGGCACCCTTCCACAATTTTTTAATTTGGTGGCATCCTTGGTTGAGAACCACTGTTGTTCTACCTCAGTAGTTCTCACCCATGGTGATGCCGCTGCTGCCACCAGGTAGAAGTGCCCCACATGCCCCTTACACAACCAGACCTGGAAGGGCTGCAATGAGTGCATGCTCCTCCTGCATTAGGCTATCAGATAAGCTTAATATAAGCAGGAGTGCCCACTTTTGCAGCAGCCCTCTTTGATTTGAACCCACACGGCATCTCTCAGAAACAGTCCCACTTGTCCCAGATACCTCTGTCTCATGCACCTCTGTTTCCAGGAGGAGCTTGCAGGGGTCTGGACTGGGAAGGGCTGCAGCATAGGCACTTCTGCCTGCTTTAGTCTTCTCAGAAGACTTTAATGTGGGAGGAGCGTGAGTATGTTCAGTAACCCTTCCTGGCTGTGCACAAAGTATGTGAGGCATTTTACTTGGGTGTGGCAGCACTGCCCACACTGCAACACTCCTGGAAGGGTTTTGTGGCACTCCAGTTGAGAACCAGTGGAACACACTATTAGAAAAATAGATTGGCTACATGGCCAGTAAGTCATTTCCGATATCTTTTTACCCTGCCTACCCCCAGGAATACAGGCACATTTTCTAGAATAGATTTTGTAGTCCTTTGGCTATGATTTTTTTTTTAATGTTCCTAATGATGCATCTACTTTTCCCTTTTGGAGATTATGCCACAGTCTGGTCTTGTAGGGCAGTGGTTTTCAAATTTCCTAAACTTATGGAATGCTTTCACATCACTTCTTCTGCTATGGAACCCCTACCTCCATCCTGAAGACTGGCAGAGAACCAAGTGACCCAGGAATGGCAGTGCATTGCCTCCTGGCCTGCTCTACCATTACCCCCAATCTCTTTATAGAACTCCCAGTGAACTATCACAGAACCTCAAGGTTCCTTGGAACAGAGTGTGAGAACCACTGTTGTAGGGTATTTTCCGTGCAAGGCTCTGTCTTCTAGTACCTGCTTCCATCACTGCCCTGTCAAAGTCCCAGTCTTGTTCTGGATTTCGGCAGAGGGTGGTAATTACAATGGTGGAATTGCATATTTTATTAATGAACAGGAGATTCTTCCAGTGCTAATGTTGGAGCAGCTTGGTGGTCTGGAAGTATGGCCTTTGCTTAACGTGGGATAAATCCTTGGCTCTTACTATGAGAAATCCTTGCAGAAATTCTGAGACCAGTAGTACCTTAACATTTAGGGAGACAGGTTAAAGCACCATGTAGAACTTGGGAGACATCAGGTTTACTTCCTTTCTCTGTCACAGATTTGTTTTAGAACCTTGGGCAAAGCTCTTAATCACTGTGCCTCAATTTCTTCATTTAGAAAATAGGGATAATTGTTTACTTTAAAGAGGAATTTGAAAATAAAGAAAAATACTAATATTTATAAATGCCTCTGGAGAGCTGAGATGTGCTACGGTGATGTGAGTCATGTAAACATTTAGATGGGAAGCAGCCGTAATGAAAAGGCAGTACCTTGGTCAGCAGATTTTGCATTATATATTTTAATTTTGCTCAACTCTCAGAGCCTGTGTGAGGGTATGTTTAGAAACTAAGAATGCACAAATCAGTTGAGAACTTCTGAATGACTTTTAAAATGGCCTGTTTTACACAGGGTTTGATACCCTTGCAAAGCTCTTCATTAGAAGAAGCTTCTGTATATAGAATGATTTTTATAAGCCACAGACAATGTGTTTTGAGCTAAAACTAATTCCATATGGGATATGGCGGTGAAATAGTTGGCAGGAGCTGGATATATCCCAGGCAAATTTTAGCTAAGTCAACAATGTTGTGTAACTAAAGATTAGTCTTGCAGTCCAGTATCATTGCATGCTATGCATTGCTCTGCTGATTTATTGTAAGGCAGCAGCTGTCCTTTTGGAAAAGCAGGCTTATAGTGTTATACTCAGGTCTTAAGGGAAACACTGATGCTTTTGAGAGCCAGGGAAGTTCATGGGGAAAGTTTTGACTGCTGGCCTGGGGTTTGGAAATGCAGGGAGTGTCTTTGTGACTTCTGGAATAATGGTTCTCAATCTTTTAAGACTCAAGGCACCCGCTCGATAACTTTTCACAATTTAGTGGCACCCTATTTAAAGTTTAATTTATATCTTACAGAGCTTACCTCCTTGTACATTGTAGCACCTATAAAGGGATATTGCAGGGTAGCAGGCAGCACTGCACAGGGCATCCCTGAGGACATGACAGGGTGATGCATGGTGCTTGGAGTTGCTAGGGCAGGGCCGGGCTACTATTTTGGGTGGAGAGCCGCTTACTGAGTTTTGGCAGGCCATCAAGGGCTGCATAACAGGCAGCCAGGGGCAGATAAATATTAATTTTCTAAGTTTTTTAGGGGCCCCGTGGGCTGGGTAGAATGGCCTGGTGAGCCACATTTGGCCCGTGGGCCACATTTTGCCCACCTCTGTGCTAGGGGCTGTTAGGCGTGGCAGATGTGGGATCTTGGAGGTGGGTCATTAGATCCCTGGAAGAGATAGCTATCCCTGTAGGAAGAGGAAAGTGGGTGGCCGTAGCCACTGGTGCAAAGGCTGGTGCCAGCTGAAAGTGACATATAAGCATTCACAAAATGCAGAAACTTTCTGATCAGATTACTTCACTTTCATTTGAGCAGAGACAGGGTAATGTTCACTCAAGGGAGAAGACAAGCTCCCCCTGCTGGTTCCTCTTGGGAAGAGTGTGATAATATAATACTGATGGTACTGAAGATGGGGAATACTTTCCTATACTGAACTGTATCACATGGTCATTTGGTTGCTGGAGAATTTTTAGTCAAAGTCATCTTTCATCTTCAGAATTACTGGATGAATAGCTATGGCTTACAGGAAAGCACACATTCAAAAAGTAAGGAAATGCCCTTCTTTTGTGTTAAGAACCTGTTTGTTTCATTCTTTCTCTTTTCTCTGTCTCTCCTAGGGAAACAGTTTTAGTGACAGCAGCAGCTGGGGCCCTGGGACTTGCTACTATTGATATTGCGACCAATGTTTTTAAGGCAAAGGTATTTCCTTTTCTAAAACATATCCATATTCTCTGCGCACATCCTGCCATAATGACCATACCCTAGTGTAGGATATTCAGGATTCAAAGACCATTAGAAACATTAATGAAATAAGCTTCGCAAAGTGGGTGACCACTATTCTCTGTTTTCCAAGTGGGCCTACCAAGGTATATATTTAGACTGAGAGTTGCCCAAGATGTTACAGTTGGCAGAGCTGGGAAAAAGAACTCAGAGACTTCTTAGGACAGAGGGGCTGGTAATCCAGTAATCCAGCATTTCCCAAATCATGGTGTGTGCTTTCTTGAGAGATGGGGGCACAAAAGTTTCCTAATGTGGCATGTGTGAATCATAGCAGCAATCAGCAATGCCTCCCTACTTCAGTCACTTTTGCACCTTTTACTTCAGCTGCCCCTGCCAACTTCCTTCACCACTGATGGCTGCCAGTGGGCGGAACTGGCAGCTATCAGTAGTGGGAACCCTACCATAGTGAAGGTGAGCACTCTTGCATCCTCCTACTTCAGCCACTGCTGTTGATTTCCTCTCCTCCCTCCCCCCAACTCAGAAAGTTTGGGAAATGTTGCAGTAAGCCGACTAACACCTTCCAATAATACCAGAGGCTACCTACCACATTTTTTCCTCATAAAACGGTTGTCTTCTACTGTGCCCCAGTGTGGATCCTCATTGCTTTCTTTAATTCCGTCCATTACTAGTTAGTTCTTTTAACCAACTGGGAAGTACAGGGGATGACCTATAGCTTAATTCATGTTGGAAGTCATGGTCATGGGCTTCTAAGTCTTTTGGATGCATGGTTTTGGGAATTTTAGCCAGGTTCTCCTTTAGATATGAACCAATATTGATCTAAGGGAAAAATAGTATTTAATGGATATGGGAAAAAGCTTTGGAGTTTTACTTCCAACCTCCCAATAAAGATGAGGTAACAGCATGCTTTTTTCATTTCCCCCCCACTAAAATATACAAGATGGCTTCATAGTCATGCATTAATTACCGTGCTGAAGAGTACTGTGCAAAGTGACAATGCATAAATAAGTCCAGTTCAGACCATTTGCTATGTTCAGAAGGCTCTAAGAAACCAAAAACTCTGACTGGATACTTTTGAAATAAATGATTCAGGGGCTAATATTCTCCCTTCTGAGTTAAAGCCTGCTATGCTGCTGGATGCTGCTTTTGATGAAGTCTAATACAGGTTCTAAACACATGTAGTAATTCAAAATCTAGTAGCATATGCTGTAAGAACAATAGTGTTTAACTCAGTACCAAGTCTGGTTTGAATAATTGTACCCTGCAGTTTCAGCTGGATATGGTATTGTTCTTCAGTTTTATGCCCAAAGCTTTCGTGAAATGCTTCTTTTTTGCTGTTAAACAGCTGCTGTTTTCCATCCCAAAGGTTGCTGCTTTCAGGGATGGGTAAAGAGATATGGTTTATGTCATATGGAAAACATGCTGGGATATTGTAATAGAAGAGACAGAGCAGTTTTATAGCAACATAGCTTGTTGCAGTTAAATAGAAATATCCCCAAGCATCACTCTGGGCAGACACTGTTGTGCTGTGGGAGTGCAATATTGGGTTTTTCTTGTGTCTGTCTTTCTTTTAGGTGATTGCAGCAGCTGGAAGTGATCACAAATGCAATGTGGCACTACAGAAGGGTGCCACACACAGTGTAAATTACAGCCAAAACAGCTTAAAAGATGAGGTGAAGAAGCTTACTGATAACAGAGGGGTCAATGTAGCGATAGATGCTGTTGGAGGAGACATCTTCAAGCAAGCATTACACAGGTGTGTTGAAGTAAGATTTGGCTTAGATAATTTAGATCAGGACAGTCAAGTATCTGATCTCTTGGGACCCTTCCCTCTAGTCCACAGCTCATCCTGCATGCTTTAGGGAGTATAAGGAGGTGGGAAATAATTTCACAAGATGGAACTTGGCCTTAGCAAGTTGCTCTCTAGAAAGAGTCATGAATCTCAGATCTTTAATGACCACAAGTTGGGCAAGGCTTTGATATCTTTTTATTTTTTTAATGTTAGCTGAAAAGTGACATTTCAAAGACAACATTGCATCTTAGTGCCATCCTGAGATGTGGGTTTCTTATGGACTAAGAAAAGAAATGGCAGGTATTAATCAGCAGCACCAGTTCATCCAGCACCACAGCTGCCCTTAGGAGCATTGCATTAAAGATTTGCATGGAGCAGAGGTTCTGAAGCATAAAAAAGCATCTTGTGGTCATCCCTTGGTGGCATTTGCTTCTTTTATCCCAATGGCAACTAAAGCAATTGTTCACATGGGGGCGGGGAAATAATAAGAACATATATTAATTGGTTTTTACCTATTCCTTATGTGAGGTAAGACTGGAAACAGGATGGCTCTGGGCTTGTACAGACATTCAGGTTTTCTTGGGAGAGTTGCTACTCTCCCAGGTGAAACCACAAGTGTACAGATGTTCAGACTTTTTCTCCCAGAGTGAAAATGGCTGCTCCAGGAGAAGAAAAACTTGGGAACAACCAGGGTTAAATTGCTCATAGGAGAGTTTCTTCTGGGACAGCGAATGTCTGTACATGCTATGGCCTCTCTCAGAAGAGAACATTGTCTCCCTGGGAATCCTGGAGAACCTTTTGTCAAGGTGTTTTTAAGCCTTCGTCAGAGGCATTGGGTGTTGGCTACAGCCAAGGCTGGGAACTTTTGAGTAGGGTGTGCCAAAGCTTCTGCTAGGACCAAAGCTGGAGGTTCCTGTCTAGAAGGACTGCCTTTCTACTCAGGGTCAGGTTGATCACCATATTTGGCATCAGGAAGGAATTTGACCTCATGGCCATATTGGTATGGACTGTGTGGGTTTTTACCTTCCTCTGTAGTGAGTGGCCCTCTACCCAGGATCTCTTGAGAATATATTGACAACATTTCATAGAAGCAGGACACTGACTGATGTTGTTCCTCTGCTTTACCTGTGACAGATCAGGGTGTTAACCCTGTTGTGTGAGGGTTGACACTAGTCTTATGTAGAGTTTAGATTATGGTTTGTATGGGATGGTTTGGATACATATAATCCTGCCTCTGGCAAGGGGTTGGACTAGATGATCTCCAGAGGTCCCATCCAGCCCTACCTATGTATGATTCTGTGTTCTTGCTAAACTGTGCTCCAGCAGGGAGCAGAACACACCTCGTTGACAGTCCCCACCATTGTGCTGCAGGGGAACACAGGTTGACCATGGGCAGTCTGGGTCAGCCAGTCAGGGCTGCCCTGTGCACTGCTGCTATCTGTTGCCAGTCAGACTAAGGGAGCCTGCAGAGCATGCTGTGATAGGGCCCTTTTCCCTGGCTGCACAGTGTCAGCACTAAAAGCTCTCCACTCTTCAGGGTCTCAGCATTTGAATGCCTGTACATGCAACTCTGGATAAGTTTCTTTACCAGGAGAACAAATCTGGGAAAATTATCTGAGATTATTTGAATGTGCATGCAGCCTCAGTCAGTGTTGTGTGATCAGCTGGCTTTCTGTAGGCCAACACAAAGAGCCTCTTCCATGCACCTTTTTATTTGACAAGTGTGGATGAAGTCTTTGTGCAATAGCAGAAAGTATTGATCCCTTGGTTACTGAGCTAATGGCACTGAGGTCACTTTTGTATGGCATTCTATGAAGAGCCAGATTTGGATGCGTTAAGTCCTGAGGAACTATAGCTTTGGATTTGACCCTAGGTTTTTTTTCTCCATTAAATCAATCTTCTTTCTGTCCTTGCAGTTTGGCTTGGGAGGGCAGGATTGTGGTGGTGGGCTTTGCTGGAGGAACAATTCCCTCATTTTCAGCTAACCTGCTGCTTCTGAAGAATGTGTCTGCCATGGGAGTGTATTGGGGTCGGTACCGAGAAGAGGAGTTCCCTCTCTTTTCATCCTCTATTTCCTCTGCTCTTCGGTACTGCTATGAGGGAAAGATTGAACCTCATATTGGAGAAGTTTTCAAACTGGAGGAGGTAAGAACTCTGCCCATGATGTCAATTCTTTTCAGGGTTTTCTCTTCTTTTAGGCATGCCAGTAGGAAAAAATGAGTCTCTAATCAGGAAGGCTACTGTCAGCACTCTGCAAAAGGGTGGAAAGGATGGCCCCAAAACTTGAACTGGGTTCAAGAAACACTTAAGAGTTGAACTAGGAGATGCATGAGACTGATCATCTATGCCTTAGTTTTAACTCTAAATTCCAGTAATGGCAAAGCATGTATAAATACTGCATAAAGCAAATGCTGTGATTAAGTTCAGGAATATAGGTTGTGGCCGTATTGGTGTAGGTATTCAAAGGTATTCAAGACTCTTGAGGAAGAGGCAATATTTTTTATTAGACCAACTAGGTAGTTGCAAAGAAAAAAATTATTTGCAAGCTTTTGGGCTCAAACACCCTTTTTCAGGCCAAAGAGAAGTCAAAGATTGTAAAATTTTTCCCAGGTAGAAATGAAACTTCATATTGCATAGGAGAGTTGGAGGATGTTATGGGTCTCCTGGTTGGAAGAGTTCAGTTGTGAAGAGTTGCTCTATAGGTATGCCAATTAGGCTCAAACAAAGGCAGAAGCATGTTACTTACCTTAAATATGTCTGGTGGTAGGTAGGATGCAGCAAAATTCAGAATCCTGTGCAATATGAACTTTTGTTTCTACCTGGGAGAAATTTTACAATCTTTGACTTCTCCTTTGCTGGAAGAAGGGTGTATGAGCCCAAAAGCGTGCAAATACATTTTTTTTTTTTTTTTTTTTTGCAACTATCTAGTTGGTTTCATAAAAGATATTGCCTCTTCCTCAAGAATTTTGGATGTGATTAAGTTCAAACACTTTGCAACTTGTTACGGTCTTGTGAAATGTCAGGCTCTCAGGATTACATTATATAGTCCTAATTTTTGTGCACAAGAGTGGGATTGTGAAATTCCATTTAATATGTGCAGAAGGATGGTACGGAACCCT